TATATGGGCAAGCGCATGTATAAGCATTAATTTATTGTAAATTTCATGTATGAAAAGTTTTATTTGATATCCTTCTGCGTTATTTTCCCTACCCCTTGAGCATGCTAACTGCATGACTTTCTGGTAAAACTCTGTACAAATTATTATTTGTTGCAATTTACAATTGTTGTTATTGTTCTTGTTACCACTAAACATTCACAAAAGTCAAATGTAAGCATTTGTTTTTTTTTTTGGTTTTTTTTTTTTTTTTGTGAAATTTCATAAAATGTTTTGCACTTCTGTCCATGTACTTACTCATCATTGCACATCGTTCAGAGGATTGGATGGCTTGGCCACCCTCTTACCAGCATTTGCATTAAAGCATTTTTAACACTGCTGCTTATTTTACAATTATGATCATATGGCAAACATATTAAAAAGTGTTAAACCTTTTGCTGATAACGTGGCTATAGCGGCAGGATCGCGATTCTTCTACGCAAACTAGATAGAAGATCATAGTCTTTAATGCTTCCATAAGCTTATATTTAAAATATTCTTTAATGGCTCAATACTTTTTACACAGATGATTACGCCAGCTTTTGTCTATACGTATATATGACAAAAAATAATGGACTCGGTGTTGAAAATTATAATTTTGGAGAGAATACAAACTTGCTTTGCGGGGAAATTCGTGTTCTTTTTTTAATAATTGTGCGGTTTTTGTTAATCTGCTGGTAATTTGTAAGTGTTACATAATAAAAATTATTAAAAATTTGCCTTTCATAAGCGAAAAGAGAGCAAAATAATTTAATTAAATTAAGGAAAATATATTCTCAGATATATGAAAATCATATCGTTTAAGTGAGATTTAAGCAAATAGACAGTTGAAAGCGGGAACAAATTATATAAGCCTTGAAGCGAATGTATTTTATATCCAAAATTAGTTTCGCTTAAGAGAATATATTGCTTACGAAGGGCGGGAACATATATTCTTCAATTTCTTTTTTTTTTTTGGAATAATTTTTTTCATACTTTTACGTACGTAAAAGAACAAAACATTGTTTATAATTTTCTTTTAAAAAATTTGGATCTGCTGTCTTTAGGATACGGTTATCAGAGACCTCTTAAAAAAACTATGTTAGCCTTAGTTAAACTGTAGATGGCTTTGGTTGAGTTCAAAAACTACTAAAACAACTATTGTGCTGAGCATATCCGGTGCTGAACGAGAAATTTAGAATTTAAAAAAAAAATTGAAACTTGAATTTTCAGCAGAGTTGCATTCGAATGGATTTAAATTCTCAGTAAAACGTTTGCCTTTTAAAATAAATTGTGATCTAAGAAAACAGACTCGTTATGTCCATCAGTAGTCGACTATATCTAAAAATTGTAGGCAAATTTATAACTTGTAGTTAAGCTAAATTAAAGTAAGCATTAAAATTTGAATCCATGAAAGATAACAGCTCACGGTTTTGTCCTGACTAACTTGGGCCTTTAGGAAAATATTCTTGACATGTTGCACTGTTAAATAAAACAAAAAAGAAAATTATATATATATATATAAAAAAAAAAAAAAAACACTGGAAGAAAATGAAATTTTATATTCTATAATATTGGGAGGGTGCGGCCAGTTTTTCCTATTCTTGTACACCTACTACGTCATCGCGCATAGCAAATACAAATTTTTATTGTTTTAGTTTATGAATAATGACGAAAAATTTTTTTTTTTTTTTTTTTTGGAGAAGTATTCTCCGTGCCCTTTGATCGATTCAATATTAATCTGCGTAAGAGAATCTGTAATTTTTTTGTAAAGTTTGAATCGATGTAATAGTTTTTGCGACCAGTAATATATTTGTCACTGACGAATCAACACACAGACCGGCGGACTGACGGACAAATCTGCCTAAATCGATTTAAAACTTGATATTGTCTAAGAATAACTATGCTTTATATGGACTCATCAGGAATTTCTCAGATGTGACAAACACTTTGAAAGATCAATATGCTCCTATCGTTTGGTAGTGGGTATAATAAAGTATGAATGCCTAGTTTTGTCTCTCAGCTTGAGCTATTGCTAAAATTTATATACATATTTTATTTGAACCATAGATCATATCATTTATCATTCGATTTCTTTATTCAGCGAATGTTTCTTTGTCCTAGCTAAAAAGCAACAACAACCAAGATTTAACCCAAATAGTTTGCAGCTCGGGACAACACCGGGATCATGTTAGCGAGGCATTCCGAATTTAAGGGTCTTTAGGGCACGTATTATAACTGATGCAAGTTTGATTTGAAAGAAAGAAAAAGAAATCACTTACGCTTAATTATTTTTGCTAGTCCATCTCGTAAGATAATTATAAATTTTGATGGCAAGCTTTTGAATGAAACAATTTGTTTTTCAAACAGTGTGATATTAATATAAAATGTTTGCATTAATTTACCGAAAAAGTACAACGAGGTTAACTAGAGAATGATGTTTTAAAAATTGCTCGGGTTATGCTCCCAGGTAGATTTAAGATTTCTGTTGCAAGGTAAACAACTTTAAAATTTTGATTTGTGTTAGAGACGCGTGTTTTTACTACAATAACTTCTTTAATGTTTTTCTTCATTAGCCGGCAATTCCAGTACCATAGCATTGCCTCTCAAATAATCCGTTTGATTTCACAGTTTCTCGTAGATTTTTTGCTAAAAAATGCCACTTTTTGTCGATCACTCAAAGTCAGCATCGCAATAGTCAATAGTTCAATAGTCGAATAATAATATTAATAATCAACCTCAAAAACTTTACTCCAATCTAAATTCTAATGTCTTGGTGTAAGCCTCGAAAGCTTTCCAATTCCTCTCAGCCTCATAAATACTCAAGAGCTATTCTGATGAACTTATTGTGTGTGTATGCTACAGTTTGGAAAGGCCTTCAAATAAGCAAATACAAGGCGTGAAGTTGTCTGTGCATTAGGAAAGTTGGAAACTAGACGGCAACTTCACAGCAAATATTCATTTAATATATGTGGTGTTTCACCTTAAATAGCATTACGAGAAATAGCATTCATCGGTTACCGGTTTGCCTTTGTATAAATTTGTGCTTATGAATTGTGCTTCAATGTGAAAAGTGGAAGAAATAACCGCCAATAAGAATAAGGGTAGGTTCGCTTTCCATGTTCCCAAATCCCGAATATATATAAAACTAAAAGCGACCTTTGACATGTAAATCGAAGCATTAATAACATTTGATGAGTCCAGTAAACAAAAAACATATGTTTGCTGTAATCAATTCCCGAAGCAAAAGAGGGGAACAACTCTCGAATAAATTGCAAGTCCCTTAGTCTAGCTAATGGTGAATCCTTGCTATTTTTAAAATGATATTTTTTAGAGCTTTGTAAAATTAAAGTTTTCCAATTTATCTCGGAAATCCATCAAAATTGTTTAACTTTTCATAGAAATTCCTTAAATCGTGCTTAAAGCATTTACTTCAACACGAATTTCAAATTTGTTTTCTTTTTGTTCTGTTCTTTGCACACGTAACGAATGTTCCTTTAGAGTTCATTTTTAGTTTTGCACATGCTATGACGTTGCTTTTTAAGGCATCCAATTACTACACGATTGCAAGCATTATCATCTTGTGATTGCATTTGAACATCTGCTAATGCGTAAAAGTTTATATAAAAAGGGTATTTGGAGCGAAGCGTCGTGCAACATGCACGAAACGTAGGCGCAACCTGCCACAGCTCGAGTTCCCATAACCGATTCGAAAACAAGCACGCTTAGCTCAATTCAAATATCTGCGTGTATATACCGATCTACAAACCAAACTCTAAGGCCGGCATACTTAGACATAATTGAAATTAAGTTTTGTACTTTTGTTAAAATGATTGAGTTTGGCTAACATTTTGATAGGGGGCACTTGACAGTTTGCATGTAGTTCCGCAAAAATGCGGCATCAAAATTATTCTGCTCAGCCTAATAACGCGCCTACAATTACCACCAAAAAGAGCTTGCAGTGTTTAAATATATGCTTAAATGATGGATAGCTAAGACTCTTTGTAGCCCTCCTAAATAGAATTTTCTTCTTTTTTTTTCTCGTTTTAATGAGTTCTTTCGTACATCTGCATTTCTTTGTCTATATATTGTCTGTCGCTTAAAAAATTCCCTCTATCTTTCTGTCTCTCTCAATTATGTATGTAAAAACTGTTAGACAAAATTGTAGATTTTTTTTCTGTTTTTTTTTTTTTTTTTTTTTTTTTTTTTTTGTGTAAGTTTGCGTTTATGTGACACGTTTTCCTTTGCGAATTATCTTAATTAAAGTTCAGCCAACTTTTGCTTTGTGCTTTTTGTCTCTACAAGAGAAGGAGAAAAAAAAAAAAGTTCACTACCAACAAATGTCGTTTGTTTTAAATAAGTGTATGGGGTTGCCTTCCACAACAAACATTGTTATGGTTTTGAAAAACAGACAACTAGACAAAGTAATATTAGTTACAGTTCACTGTATCTGCAGCAGTTGCGTTACATTTCTTTTTGTTTCTTTTTGTTTCTTGCTTATTTTGGAAACATTGGAAAGAGAAAGCCCACAATTATTTCCGTCCCCTCTTTGTTTCATTCAAATATTCGAATTAATGATTCTGTGAGTTATATCCGATATTATTGCATTCCCTTGCTCGTTGGCTAATTCCAACGGCTTATATAAAAAAACACTTGAAACTTAGTTCCCTTTGAAGCATAGTTAGTTCAGCCTATAAAACCTTAGGCAATCAACTTCTTGAAACTGGAAAATCTTAAGTAATCAAACACATAAAAAAAAAAAATAAATAAAAATTAATTCTATTAATTCCTGTAAAACCTTAAGGGGAAACCTTAGAATTTCAATTTTTATTTACCTGAAGTGATGCGTGTCCAAGATTCGCTCAAAGACGAAATTTTCTCTTTTTTTTTTTTTTAATTGTTCTTTAATCACATCCAAGAGCACCTATCGGTGTAATTATTGAGAAATGGAAAACTTGAAGAAAAGAAATTTGTGTAATAATTACCTTCCAGGAGATATTTAACTGAAAAGAAAAGCAAAGCAAACGAAAAACAAGAAAATGAAAATTAAAAATGAAAATGAAACAAAGTGTAAAATCAATAAAAATGTTCAAAATTAAATTTCGTAACGAATAGAACGAAAATTTGAAAGGTTTACAAAAACATATATCAGAGCAAGTTGATAACAATATAATCAATAAAACAAAAATAAAATTTAATTTAGTTTTTTTTTCTTTCGACAGAATACGTTAGATAAAAGGTAACCGACCTCCTAAGAATATAAAAAATAAATCAAAATTAATGAAAACAGTGTTGAAGCTGTTGCCTGAAGCATTTTTACGTTGGGTAACCATCATTTCCCGAACAATATCTTTCGAATCACTTTGATTTGTCATTTATTCAAGAAAGTTGATGTAATCTTAAAACAGGAATACGAGGTTAGATTTACGAAAAAAGTGAGACCGAGGGAAAAAAAAACGGAGAACTGATCATAACTGCGACTTAAAAAAAATATTTGCAAGTCTTTTGCACCCTGGAAGCTCGCGTCACAAACTTCTCGAACTAGCCACCAAAGAATATTGCATATGGACTCAGAATAACGTAGCTAAAGTGAATGCTATAAGCTATAGTGTCTCTGTTTCTTCCAACGCTTATTTGAAGCTTAGATTTTGCCACCATAGAAGAGTTTGCGTTATGTGATTTAACTTCCCCACCGTTGAATTTTTTTTTTTCCGAAAGCCTCCTATGAATTATTAAGGTATTATATAGCGTGCGGGAAGAAATAGACCCATGTCGCTCAAATTAAGTCCATTTAATTTTTTTATTTAATTACTATCATGAGGATATTTTCACCACAAAGAAATTCGGCTTTTTTCGCGTATAAGGGTTTCCGTTTCATGAGAATTTTTATATGCGATGGTATCCAAAAATTGACCTACGTGGTCCAAATTCGGTCCAAAGTTTTTACCATGAAATATAAGAGACTCGACCTTTTCAGCATATGAAGCTTTAGTTTCTGCAGGAACTGAATGCAGGAATAAGAGGGAATTCATAAAATTTCTCCAGCCAGTCCAAAGTTTCCACACCAATCTAGAATTCCGGGATCCTATTACTTAGTTGCCGTGTTTCACCGATAAATTTTGGAAGTTCGGATTTTTTTCTTTATATATTGACTTTTCAGAATAAGCCATTATATGATGAGTGATTAAAAAAAATTGACCAAGGTGAACCATTTTCAATAGGGTTTGTCTTTGAGCTAGTGTACGTCAGTGTGCCAAATTTCATCAAAATATCTCAAAAACTGCAACGTGCAGCTTGAACATAAAAATACTTGGACAAATTTCAGACGGACCGGTAGGCAGGCCTAGATCGATTTAGAAATTGTTTCTGAATTAATTGGTATAATAAAAGGGGGGCCCTGTTTAAGCCCTTCTGGGTGTTACATACGTCTGCACCAACTTAATTTACCCCATATTACAAGTAGTGTACGATATAACATGGAGAGGGGCAAAAATATGTCTTTAGTAAATTAAATAAAAGAATTTCAATAACGTACCGAGATGTTTTGAGAGATGGCAGGGAAAGATGAGCCCAGTGTGACTTGTACTGCTACGTTCTTGCCATTAAACGATTTATAAGCTACACACATTCTTGATCACGTTAAAATCCTAAGATGAGCGATGGTTTGCATTCGTGCGCTTACAATGCTAATGACATACACAGAATGAATGAAAGAATTTTGCGCAGAAGCTTGAAAGTAAACCGAAGAATGTACACGAAATTAGATAGCTCTTCCTAATGCTCAATCCGTTCTGCGTTCAAAATGAACGGTTAATCCAATTTGTGTGCATAACGTTAAGGTGATGGGTACCAGGAACTCAACCCAAGGCGGACCTTATCTCCTTATTTCGTACATTTGCGAATTCTTCTCTTCATCCATTCAATTATCACAATTGCAATTTAAAATTCTTACTAGCGCTGCTTGCGCTAGGGGAGCGCTACCTTAAGAGCACCTGATATATCTTTTGCTTTTTACATTCTTTTAATACAAAAAAAAAAAATTTGTTATTTTAAAAATAAATTCTTCTTCGACCATTAGTTTCAGCAAGTTAGATTGGCACACATACTTTTTGTTTTCCGTAATACATATATATATATATATAAAGAATATATATATAAAGAAAGAAACAAGAGTTTCCAGTTTTTAATAAAGTTGTCATTTATAGAACAGAATGAATTTTATTAAATATCGAAAAGTTTCTGTTTTTATTTTACTGTATAACCGGCACAAAGCAGGAGCAAAGAATAAATACGACATTTATATCAATAAATAATTCAGAAGAAGAAAGAAAGAGAAGAGAAGAAATTCCAGGAAACTTTACATTTGCTTATGTAGTTGTGCTTCTTTCTACACAATAAATGAACCAGAAATATGAAATCAGGCAATGCCACTACAACAACAACAACAACAACAATAATTGCATACACTTGCATGGGAATCATAGTAATAGGAAAGTAAGCAGAGAAAAAAGAAGAAGAAAATTTCCTTTTCTGTTGAATAATAAAAAGTAAAAAGTTTTTCCTCTGACTTTCTAATGAAATTGTTTTTCAAACTAAAGGAAAAGGTTTTATAAACTAAGTATATTTTAAAGTCTATTAAGTGCGTCTTCCAAATTAATTACTAAATAAACTTAAATTGTCAGCGCAACTTCTTTTTTGCGCTAACACATTACATTTTCGCTTCACCCGGAACATTTACTAAGCATTGCTCCGCTGGATAGTCCCAATTAATCGACAGAATGTGAGTTTACGTTTCCATTCTCTTTGTTAGATCGAAATCTATCAAAGACTCCACGAACATTTTCTCCTAATAAGCTTACGTGAGCTTCTGGTGTCGATTCACGCTGAGACTCACGAAATCCATATTAAATGCTGCTACTAAGTTATATGTCGTTGGGTCCTATGCGAAGATCATGGTAAAAACAAACATTACTTATTGAACACATAAATCTTTGGAAGATGAAGAATTGTCACTTGACCTGGGGAAAATCCAAATATTCCAATATATCCTATTAAAGAAGGTGCTCCATTCCCTCTCTAGATTACAACCTATGAACGCAACTATTATTTCAGCAACAGGTCTGGCCAAAGTTGGGCGAGCATCTAACAAACAAACAAAGTTCATAGTGAAAGTGCAGTGGAGATTAGGATCGATAATTGTTCTCATCCTGGTCTTGTTCTTTATCTATCTTTCAAGATAATCAATATTTGTATATATGGTGGTAGTGTATGTAGCAATTCAAATTGCTCGCATTAAACAAGTGCGCTACCTCTTCTACATTGTACTGCAAACGTGCACTAAATTTGTTAGAATGACCTGAGATAATGCCATTGCTTTTCTCTACGCTTGGTTTACAATAGTTTTGTAAATGAATGTAAGCTTCTCTGTCCGTCCGACCGGTCAACGTAGGTCCGCATATTTTCGTTTTTAGTCTATGAGTTAGTGGCTAGAGAGAGACAGATGATGGCCGCATCCTGAGTGTTCCAATGGGTAAGTGTTACGCCTTCAATAACCGAGCTTATAACGTTTTGAGAATTGAACACTAGTATCCCGACCTAATAATCGTGTGCCTTAAGTAAAAACGTGCCTGTGAACTGAGTGAGTTTACGAGATATTTAAAAGAACTGATGTCAACTCTGCTGAATATGGATTGCATTGGATTATGTTTACGAACGCCCTTCCTATAAAGTGTTGCTCGTTATAGGAAAAATGTCCGTCATTTTTACTACTTCTTAACATTAACTTTTATAAGCGCTTTCCATCCCATCCTAACGGTCTTGCAAAAAACATACGTTTATCAAGACAGTTAGGTTGTTTCTTTTATTCATAATAAAAATTAATATGAAATAGCGATCTGACAAATACATTAATTAGGGTGAGCCTGGACATTGATATAGATTTATTTCGGGGTCCTCTCAACGTACCACATGCGAGGTCTCGTTTAAAGTAATCAAATATAATTTCTGTTATTATATAAAGGACATAGGCGAAGATTGGATTTGAGGCAAGCAATTGTGGCGTAGTTGTAGTCAAACTTGTCTTGTTTTAACTTGTTCTATTTATTAAGAATGCTATTGAACCGAAGGCTCCACGCTGCGAGTGATTGATTTTCCAGTAAAATTGATAATAGTGTCAAATAGTGTTGTTTTCAGTTTTTCGTCAATAAATTTTTATTTCAATTTGATATAAAAATCAAATTTTTCATAATAATTTTCTTAAAGACTTTTTTCACTAAATTCATTTACGATGGCGCAAAATTTTCTGTACATGTTCGAAGTCGTGGTCGACGATCTTTTGGTAACGCGGCCAAATTATTGCGCGCCTGAAGAGTACCCCACATGCTGTGAAATTTCATTTAGGAATAGCGTTTTCTTATCAATATGCGATCGTGAACTTGGCCAATGCGTGGATCCGACTGGTCCAAAATGTGGCAAATGCTGTTTGTTCTCATTGGATGCACCTGTTAGTGACACGGACAAATTGCTTGTGCATGTATACAAGAAGAAATCGCACAAGTGCAAATTTTTAATAGGTTGCACAGACATGCCAATCAAGGGACTATTCGACACAGTTATGGAGAATTTCAACGTCGAGAATCCTAACTGGGAGGAAACGACCAAGAAACACATATCCAATATACTGAACCTGCCAGAGCAAAAATCATCTCAAATGGTTAACGATTGTGAGGATGATGCAATGGGACGACGTGAACAGTTGTGTCCAACGTCAGAGATGACCAAACGTTTGTTGCCCATTTTCAATTTGAAAGGGGCTCAGACGGGCAATATTGTTTTGATTATACGACTGGTGGCCAATGGTCCAGCTATTGTGTCTTATTTTCCATTTGCGCGAATATGTCAGGCAGGCTGCGGAGCAAAACCACCTATTTGTGGTCCAAAAGAACGCACCAAATCATGCCCAGATAATGACAAAGACAAATGTACCGGAGTTGATGACATTTTGCCGCAATTAGGTAGATGCTGTGGCGGAGATGATAGCGCTTTTGGTGCTACCGGCACGTCGAATGTAGGCGCTACAAGCAGTGCTAGAGAAGTTAGTAGTAGAGAAGGTAGCGATAAGCGCGACGACACCAGCAACGCCGCTCCAACTTACGGCAATAAGGCCGCTTGTGGCGGTCGCAAAGTTTATCGAAACTTTAAAGATCCCGACAATAGTTGTATACCAATGGAGGATCCCTGCAAAAAACAGGAAAAGAAATTGCGATGCTTGCGTTATTTTGCTTGTAACGCTGACAAAGGTTGTCCATGCGAGGACGTAGAAGATGATTGCGAACGAGGCAAACAAAAGCACCAGGCCTGCAAGTCACTTAAATGCGGCTGTCCACAGTCTATCAAGGACAGCTGTGACAGCAGTAAAGAGAAAGAGGTCAGCAAATCTCAGCCTTGTTCTTGCGATAAATGCACGGGTGAATGCGAAGCCGCTTCTGGAGATGAGCTTTTTGATCCCTGCAAAGTGCCTGACACTTCCCGGCGCGAACCATGCTTTATGGAACCGACTAAACCATTTCCGGGTCCCAATGATTATGAAGAATTCGAAGCCTGTCTAAATGGCAGTGGTCTATTAATACGCGTACTTAAAGATACGCATCAAGTCGAGAATATATGCGATGGCACTGAAAATTTCGACAATGCGGAAAGTGGAAGTGATTATGACGGTAATCAAGATGGCAGCCAAAACTCTCAATGCAATTTGAATGAACTATTGCAGCGCAGTGACTTTGCTCGTAATCAAATTAAACGCCGCACTGGCGGCCACATTGTCAATCATCCAAAATTACCGAAAATTCGCGCCAATATTAAATATGCGGGTAATGATTACTGCTGCCCGGATAGTTTTCATGTACCATTTTCAAGATTCAAAGAGTTTTGCAATAACCAAGAAAGTAAAGTTGACGCTTATCGCCGCCGTAAGTCCGGTGATCGTCGCGTCCGAGCACCGCTGCATCCTGATAACAATCGAAGTTGTTGTGTTCAAGTCAACCGTGAAGATATAAAAAATGCGATCCAGGGCGTTAATGTTGATACGAGAAAGAAAGGTATTGAGGTTTGCTACAGAACGTGCGAGGAAACAGATAGTGACGTATTTGTAGTGAAATTGGGCAATAAACGCAAGAGCCAAAGTAAAAGAAATAATATCGAAATTGAATTGAAGACACCAAAGCAACCATTGGTGCTGCCAAAGCAACGACTGACAACTGAAACCCAGATAAACGAGGCTGAATTGGACGCCGCACTTGCTGATGTCTGCAAAGCCAAAGGCAAAGGCAAAGGAAAGGGTAAAGGAAAGGGTAAAAACAAGAAAAAGAAGTAGACACGAAGTTCTACAAAAAACGATAAACAACGAGCCCCGCTTCTCAATTGAGGAAAATGTGATTCTTTTGTGCAGTCACTATAGAACAAAGTTCAGACATCTATTTATATAATGTAAAATTTTGTGCGTTTTTTTTTTGTTTTTGCTTTTTTTTTAATGCAATAATATCTATATGTATCTAAGAGTACACGAGACTTGGTGTACACTCAAAAACAAATCATATTTCTCTCATTCTCATTAATTTATCAATTGGAAAAAATCAAAAAACTAGATACAAACAAAACAACAACAAAATCCTCTCTCGTCCCGCTTTACTAATCTGTACTGAAATTTACTAAACAGTGCGTAGTTTTGCGTGTAGTGCGTTTGTGTTTACAAATTGGAACAAGGGGAAATTTCATTGTTTTGTGACGGACAAAAAAAAAACCAAATAATGTAATAAATAAAAAAATTAATGAACTTTCAAAACAAATTTTTTCTTCTATCGCGAAATAAATATTGGAGAAAAGGTCAAATGTTAAATGCTAGCAAATAAAAGGAAATGTAATTAAAGCGAAAAATAGCCAGCGACTGCATTTGAGATGAAAATTAGCGAGTAAAAGTAGGAAAAAAAGAAAACAAGAAATCACTGGATGCCTTTTCATTGGCATGAGAAGATTTTGCAAAAGTTGTCCGCAAGACTTTCAATTCATATGGGTGGAGTTTGCCGGCCGAAGGATGGGGGGTACATTCATTCTGTCGAAATGCTTCCAACGCCCAGGAGGAAGCTGACACAAAGGCCCCGCAAAGCGTATGTATTCAAGATTAGCGTCAAATTCTGAATCGATTTAAACGTACCCGTCTGTCCGTCTGCCCCTCTGCATAACATGACTGTTGCAAGCGTTTTGACGATGCCGCAGTACCTGTAAAAAATGGAAAGATCGAGCACGTTTACACTATTTTATAATATGCCATAATTTCATTTTTTTCCAGAACTTTTACATAACGCAAGCTTCGCAAGCAAGCTTCAACAACCTCATAAGGTATACAAACTTTTGACCAGTCCCGAATTTGAAACACATCGAAGCATATCCGTCCGTTCATCTTCCCATCTGTCCATCTACACAACTGTGTAGCAGTTATGGTAATCATTCTACCGTTCAGAAGAATGAAAATATCACCTACAATCTTGCAAGAGCGACCGGCGACAGGCTTATGTAGCAAACCACATGAACTCTTGTGTTTTCGGAGTTGCTTGCTTGTTACACATAAAGTACAACAAGTACACCATTCCCACGTATATTCTGAAAAGAGGATAAAATCTAGCACGCCCACCAAATATTATAGGGTGTGAAAATTTCAGTTCGCTTCCGTTTTTTTTCTTTTTTTTTGAGATCACGGTGATGGGTATAAACAATTCGGTCACGATCGTGATAAAATTCACTTTGCAAAGTAAAGTAAATTTGTGGTCGCGCCATTTACATATATATGTCTCCTTCTGTGAATTTGCCAAAAAAAAAAAAAACAAAAATATGTCTCAGCATAAAATACTTTTTTGGAAAATCGTTTCATAAAAATATTTACGTTTTTCTTAGGGCTACATTCTTCAAAAGACTTCTATTGGCCTTGCGAACTTTCATTTACGCCGCAGTATAAGCAAAATTTTTTTTGATTGTTTTCGAAAGTCCGAAACTTTTCTAATAAACATTTCCTTTCCGTTGTTATATTTATCAAATTTTTTTTTTCAAATTCATTTTTGTACGCAAAAAGCTCCTTCAAAAAAAAAAAAGAGAATCTTTTTATATTTTGTTAATAATATTTCTGACAAGTGCGTGCCGTAACATATGTTTCCCTATGACCTTGATTTCGGTTAAATATACAAAAGAACTTTTGGGTGAAGAGCAAACATAACACAACATGCTGTGGTATGGCTCTTACGGAAAGTTCAGCAAGAACTAATAAAAAAAAATTGTTATAAAAGAAATATGTTTTTTTTTTTTTTTTTTTTTTCTTTTTAGTGAATTACTTTTTCAAAGTATTTTTTTTTTTTTTGCCACGAACATAGAAACGGTAAAGTTTTTTTGATTGAATTTCAAATTTAATTTAATTTATTTGCTTGAAATTTTGTATATGTAAACATATTTGCATAACATGACGTTTGTATTGAATTTTACAAAATTTCAAATTCATCCTTTTAAATAAGATTAAAAATAAATTATAATTTATATAAAGGTTTTAAGACCTTCATATTTACATATAGCAAACATGTATCTTTGTCCGACAACAACAATTTTAGTACTTAATTTATTTATTATTTATTTAATTATGTCGTCACAAAAGTTCTATGAACTTTGCTGGACATGTAGAACAAAGGAAACTATGCCTGGTTTTCCTTGTCGAAGGTTTTGTTTTTTTTTTAATTTTATTTAAATGCATCTTTTATATCGATATTTATCCTAAGAGATGCAAAAAAGCTGATGCTTTGAATATTTTGTGCATATGTTGTTACGAACTCAAGGCCAAACAAAAATTCAGGAAATTCAAAGGCGAGAAATGTTTCAAAAAACGTTCTATTTCTAATCGGATCACGATTTGTCGTTAAGTCACATTTGATATTGATGCACAGAACTTGTATGAATATATCAATGAATTTAAACTATGAACAATTATTCGCATGATTCCCATACGTTAGTGAGAGTCACTTCGTTATCGAAATATACAACAATGATATAAGGGTTAATATTATGTCTGTGTAGTCGTTAAGTCTTGAGTGGAATTGATTCAAGTTTAAGTTGATCACCAGTAGTCAGCCAGTAGCGGGTGACGAGCCTAAATCGGCCTTTAAAACAAACGGTTTCCATAGTTCATTCGCTTCTTTGAGAAGTAGTTTTTCTGTTTTGCACGTTTGCAACACATTTTATCCGACATTCATATTAACTGTTTACGGTTACTTCAAGAAAAGTCTGTCCCAGTCCTTGCTATTGCTGAGAGATCGATTAATATATACTGACCAATATCAATATATTAGTCAGTAAATTCATCATTGTTTTAAACTCGAGGACACTGGCATAATAAATTCCTGCTTGGCGTTTCTTCTAGTCCTCATTACTATATGGCTTGTCATATCCTGCCTGCCGAAATATTAATATAGAATTTTAAGATTGTTAAAGAATGCTCTAGAAGTCTAAGGAATTGATACTGAGAAAGACCAGCTAGCCGAAGAAAATTACATCACCGTGTGAAATTAACGATGCTCTTCTCTCATAATCAAATGTAATCATATTAATTATATGTACAATTGTTTGTAATTGAAGGAAATGTATTTCTGTAGTCAATCTTTGTTCAAATGAAATGACCAGCAACTTTTTTAATAACAATACGTATGTTGGCTTCAAAGGTGATAGCAATAGCACAGCTACTATCGTTTATTTCAATCAAAGTACTAACCTTTTGTATGCAATTTGTACCCAAATACGTCAGAGGTCCGCTAAGGAACAAATAATTTTGATTACTTTGTTATAAGCGCTTTCACTTTGCTTTTCATTTTCGAAGCTTCGAATTTGTACTGAACCGTCTGCTCGTAGATAGTCGGCAGAAAACACAAAAAACAAAAATAAAAAGGGGTTGGAAGACCAAAAAGTGAGGCTGCGTGAAATAGCTAACACCTTAAAGATATCAGAAGACAAAGTGTTCACTACTTTGCATGTACATTTTCCCAAGAGAAAGCTCTCCGTTCGTAGTGGGTGCCGCTTGTGCTCACTTGTGACTGCTGTTTAGACGAAATGGAATGGAATTTTTCATACACGTTCTATATGACAATGGATGAGACATGTAATCGTCACTAACGCCAGAGTCAAACGACAGTCGGTGGAATTTAGTTTGAAATCTTGCGAATTTTTTAAATATGTTTGCTAAACTACACAGCCTAGAAACTCTGCGTGGAACGAAAGGTTTTTCGATTCGCGTCGCAATTACTTTATGTACGCTAATTGCAGAGAACATCCTAATAGCCAGCGGATAACAGCCGTGGATGCAAATTAACGACAGCGATGCTTGGCATATGTGTTTTTTAAAAGAGTTTTTAAATCTTTCTTTTGTTTTTGGAAAATATACTAGCATCTCCTATAGATTGGTTGGTTCTTACAAGTACTTGAGAATTTTACAAGCGAATGACGCAGTGCAGCGTTATCAGTCAGTGATGCTTACAGTAAACATTAAGGTGAATCTTAATTTGTTGTAATCTTATATGAACATTAAAACAGTTAAACAGTAAATATAGTCTTATATAGAATTAGGGTCGAATTCAGCGCTCAGAAGTCGCTATCTAAAGTAGACAAGACCTATGTAAAACATATATGGCGAGAATTTATTTCGTTGCCTGTGAAGAACCTTAGGTCAATGATAGAAAATTTCTTTATTCTTTTGTGTTTTCCGTGCAGCACGTGCTCGTGCATTATTCTCATTTATCTATGTTAATAAAACTTGCTCTTTTTTTTTTGTATTCGTTGGATTGATATTATAGTTAGAACCATTTCTAGCGTATCATATTCTAGTCATCCTAGATGCCTGAGTTTATAAAGTTCGCCTTCCATTGATGCCCTGTCAAAAGTGCATCATGTTCATCCGAGCGTGCGGAAGACGATTTAGGTAGATTAGGCTGAGTTTAAGTGGCCTAAGCCAATAAGCTTTATTCGTCTACTTAGATAAATTATTAAGTTTCCTTTGCAGCGTTTATCGGTTTGGGTAAAAAACTAAAGAAGGAGATATGATTGTCTGCTTACTATACCAATTTACTACGCTTGGTTGTCTCGGCTTTGTCGTCAGTACATATACAAATTCATTCAATTCTTCTTGCAATCTTAGCGTACGTTTAGTTCGGAAACCTAATCAAGCAATTGTTTAACTTCAAATTTCATGGACAACTCATAGGCATATAATATACTGGTATCGTTTTACAATAAGCTAATGGTAGCGTCCAATTACGAACACAGACGATGACTTCCCGGCCAGCTTTTGGTGCAACTTCAGTAAGATTCTGAGGAAAACCACCATCGCCATCATCCACCTCAGCTGTAAGCACAATGCAAATGAAACCATTGTCGTCAAGGCTAACACTGGTTCCACAGGGAAGACAATCAAATTGCATTTTACATATCTAATCGCGGTGTCTCTCATATTCATTTTAGCATTAATCCATTTTTAGGCAGTTGATATATCTTCATTTGAAGAACGCACAAAATAATTTTACTTTTCCTTGGCTAGAAGTATTACATTTGGAACGATCAACCCTTTGGACATTGTAAAATCAGCTTCAGAATCGAATATCAATTCTATATATTACTTTATTAATTTTACTAAGCTCATTATCTGATGTGCATTTATTTAAATTAGAGCCGATATCCGATAGTGTTGCTTGTGCTCAATGTATTTTTTTTAAGTCTAAGAATTTATCTCATTAGTCTAAAATTATAATAATAATAATAATTTTACCAAATTGGCTTTGTTTCCTTCATGATAAATAAGCATAAAACCTCAGAGGTGAAAAAAAGTTAATTTAATTGCCTGTAACTATGTGTGTGCATGGCCGATTTTTTTCCCCATTTTTCCACGTAAAGAGTAGAGTGTTTCGCAAAGTAGAGATTGAAGAGGTACAGTTTTGCGACCGGGCGAGTGCCAATAACACATACCACACAAACACACAAACACACAGACGCACAAACATGGCTAAATCAACTCAGAATTTTACGCTGATCAAGAATATATATATAGTTGATAGGATCTGTGAAACTTGTTTTTTGCATGTTACACACGTTATAGAGAAAAATAAAATGTGTAAATACCCCCAGCTTATAGTGGTGGGTATAAAAACATTTGTGCACACACTACGCAGGCATTGTTATATTAAACATTTTCAGTAACTAATGTTTCCAGTTATAACGTTATAAGTGACAGTGCGTTTGTTGTATTGGTTTCGAACGTTTGGATGGCCTCGACGCCAACATAACTCTTTGCTTCCATCGGCAAATACACTTTCGCGAGTTGAATTGCGATTGTCATGCACCTTTGACAGAGCATTAGGGAAGAATGTAAATTTCCAGTTGAGGCAATCGTCAAAAGATGGCGCTACTAGAATGTGTTTTACTCAGAAAGATCTATTTGCTGTAGACAAGTTCACTCGGAACGCATTTATACGCGTATGTGAGTATTTATCGCTTATCGCTAACGTGTCTAAGGAACACCGGTATTAGCTTAGAATTCGTTGAAAGGCATTTTATTGGCAAACTCTTATTTTAGATTTATTCATTGCCGGAGCGTAAGAGCGAATCTTATTTGATAAATGAAATTTATGTAAGTGCCTGGGTGCGCTTTTATTCCATTCCTCTTAATTACAAATTCATACGTACCAATGCACCTTGAAAGCTCTCTTAATGACTTCAAATGTAATATTTATTTGAATTAATAGAACCATAAAGAATCTCTAAAAGCATAGCTAATAGAATTTCATATAATGTATACGCTGTGTATGCTGGCCAAAGCGTGTGCTTATATAGCTATATACATTTATATAATAACAAATTACTATGAAAAGTCATATCGGACGTGCATATGCGGATATTTTTTTATTCTTCTACTTCTTCCTTTTCATTTTTTTTTTTTTTTTTGTTATAAAACTTATGCATAAGGATATACGGTTACTGCAGTCACTTGATTATATATATATATATATATATATTATGTGTTTTTGTTCGTTGTCTATGCTATGTAGAAGAACAACTTACCGTTTTCCTCTTCTATGTTACGTGTCATAGCCGTGGGTGTAACACGAGCACGTGTCGATGTTGTATGTGTTATAAAATATATCATGAAAAATAAAAAAGTCCATATTATAGTTGAAGACAATTGCGGGCAAGTTAAATCCATAGTGTTGTTGTTTCAACTGTATAGCGGCAGTATAAGCAGCGGCAATATGTTAAAATTGTAAATTACGTAGCAGACGTATAATGTACACAATGAACGAGGAGCGCATATGTGTGCATAATTGTGTAATTTTAGTTGGTTAAGTTTCCCACAGGGCAGCAGCAGCAGCAGTAGTAGTACTAGTTAGTTGTTGTTTTTATTATTTTTATTATTATTATTGCGGTTCGAAGGGCAGGCAGGAGCAACAGTTTTAGGTATTTAATAGAATAACAGGAAAAATAGTTTATTTTATCGGGCGTGGGTCTTGATGGAGTTGTGTATGCAAATGTATTTAACAAAAGCCAGGATGTTAATTATAATTTGTTGTGTTTTATTACTTTTTATTGCAGACATGCATTCTCACTGGGACACTTGGACGCAAGCACACACACACACACACGCACACAATATACACAGCCACATACACACACGTTCGTGCTCATCATACATATAAATATGCATAAGCGCAAGAATGCAAAAATACTAGGAACCGTCCGTATGTATGCTTTGTTAAACTACACGTGCTTCCAATTTTTGTTTTTTTTTTTTTCGCCCTCCTTTTTTTATGCTTTTCCTCGTTTCTTTTTATTTTCCTTTTTTTGCAAATTCTTGGTTTTTTATTTGTTTGGTTTTTTTTTTTTTTACTTCACAACAACAAGAAGAAGTCGCTGCTGCATAAGCGCACCGGTTAAACTCATTTTCGCTGTTTTCTCGTTTATTTGGAATTGTTGAACTCGTGTAATGCTTCCTCACGCAGTTGAAGGCGATTTAAGTTTATTTGCCTTTATGATTGCGGGCAACGTTTATCATAACCTCAATGATTGCTTATTTGTGTGTGAAAGTGTTTGCGTAGCCGATTTGATTTCAGGGAAATTTTATTACCTTCTTATTATTATTATTGTTGTTGTTGTTTCTATTACAATTATTATTATTATTATTATTAATGCAAGTTTATACGCTTGATTTAATTTGCCAGCAAATCATGCTTTCATTATTGCAATTTTTTTCTCTTATGCTCTTTTGCTTGCTAAAAAAAAAATTGAAAAATAATTATTTCACGTACGTAAAATTTTTATTTTTTTATTTTATTTTCTTTGTTTTTTCTTTTTTTGCTTTGTTTTATTAGCGCTTAATTGTTGACCATAAATATACATTTCTATTATTATTTCGTTTTTTTTTTTTCTTTTTTTATTTCGGAATATTTATCTCGTTTATTATTTATTTTTATTATTAATTTCGGTTAAAATAATGTTCTGTTATTTAATTACATTTAATTATTTACTTTTTTGGTTTACATTAGATAGAGCTTTTAGTGCCTAGAAACGAACTTTGAAAAACTTTTTAGTACGAGCATTTTTTTATTTAATATTATATGATACATAAAACATAACAATGAAATCATTTGTAATAACTATTTTCATGGTTTTTACCCTAAGACTCGGGTCTCGATACCTGCATAAATGTGTTGCGTTTTCAGTAAAAGCATGGGGTTTAAAGTAAGCAAATCGATAAGCATTTGTGTTATTAGAAAATTCGTATAATCCTGTTGTGTAGATTTTCGTCACATGTTACTTGCAGTAGAAGAGCAAAAGTACTGAGCCGCTTCTTCATTTATGTGAAACATTTTATACAACTTTGATACCCTACAACACTTGTGATATAAGAGTATATTAATTCCGTGCCGATGTAAGCAACACCCAGATGAACTTGAGAGAGACCCGTATTTTATAATTTCCTCTGTCCGTCTTCTTCTGGTGTGTTTAACCTGCAGGACGCAATTTATGAGATATTTTAATGAAATTTGATACGCTGATGTGTTTTCGCCCAAGAACGAACGCAATTGAAAATGGATGGGTTTGGACCACTTTCCCATATAAAACCTCATTTTGAAAAGTCTATACATTAGTAACTGTAGGATGATGTAGGCTATTTATTTGTTTTTTTGTTGTTTCATCTTTGGAATTCGAATAGTATACTCTTCGGAAATTTGCGCAGTGGCGAAAAGTTAGGTTTGAATGTGATAAGCGGAATCGAAAGTAGTATTTCATACAGAATAGCTTGCAAACGATATTCAGTAAGACGAAATCAAATGTATTGTCGATCAGCCATCGATTATAAATTAAGCGTAGCTTTTCTCAAAGCACGAATACGTTCAATTTAATAACGAGCTTTCTTGCTTCAGAGAGTGGGAAATAATTCCAAGTTGCGCGTTTTATAGGCAGGCATACTATAACACTTAGCAGAGCTTATTGAAAAGAAATTCAGCAAATGGAGCCTTTACTCGGTTAAGACCATGGTCGCAACCAACCCCGAAGAATTGTGGAAATTTCACAACCCCATTCAACATGCAAGATAGATATAAATTATGGAAATCGAGGAATGATAAACTTCTTCAGTAGGCTTCAGTGTGAAATAGTCTTGGAAAAAATGAAGGGAATTGCATTTCCAAAGGACGCCTGGACATTTCATGAACCTCACAAAGTAACGAAAGCTTATAAAAGCAAAGCTCAACGTGGTTAAGCTGGTTATGAAAAAAAGCGGGCAATTCACTTGAGGGCAAATGCGCCTGCAGGTAGAGTATATACACCATGTAGCAGATTATTTTTCCGATTTTTCAAAGAGTACTTACTTCTGCGACTATTACAGATTAAGTTCCTAATCTCCCTTTTTTTTTTGTACAATTCTATAAAGCGAAGAGGCTTGCGTACCAAGAATTACCGGAAACACATCACAGACTTTTGTGCATTCATGGTCATGCAGACTTACATTGCTAAGTTTATCAAGAGTGAGAGAATTTTCGATGCATTGTTCTGAGTGCTATAAGTGAAAAATGACGAAACTGCAGCTACATCTCAACATCTTTCCAAATTTAGATTTCAATAATAATTCCATTTTTCTTTGATTTCGAATGTATTCACTGGATCTGTGCCTCACTTAAGGTTAGTTAAAATCATTTCCTAAACTGAAACGCGTTTGCTATCCGTACCTAGCACATAATCCTTAAACACTTGTCTAGAGAGCCTACAAGCATCGCTCAGAATATCTGAATTCAACTCGAAATGAAAAGTCGGAATTGGTCAAAGGAAATAAATCTGCTCCAAACATCGTCCGATGATGAGCAGAGAGCATATCAAACAACTCGAGAAATGTATTTTCATGTCTTAAATGAATTTCATCGTTTCCCTAATTACTAACAGCTTCGTTTAACTTAACCACTTCAGAAAACAAAATATTTATCTTTGCGAAATTAAGTGAAGCATCAACATCCAGTTCAAGTTGATATCGTAGCATAGGCACTGATTAAAAATGTAATTACCTTGACAAAGATTTGGCAAGAATCCTGAGGCGGAAAAGAATCGATATTCTCGAAATGATATTCTCATCGCAGATACAAATTCGAGTTAAGGTAAAGTATTTGTTACCTCAACACAAGTTTACTCATCTTGTCATTATCAGTCTTTAAAAAAAAAATTTTTTCTTAATTCTTTTTTATGCATTTATGCGTAAACGTGAAATTTCTTCCTAACAAGTTACTGCAAATAATCCAAGTGTACAAAATAATATTCTTGAAGAAATGAAAGAAGAGCAATAGTAGATAAGTAAATGTTTCTCATATTCGAAGCAAAACTATTTTTTACCTAATTCATGCAGGCGCCAAGGATGGGGGAAAGAAAGGGGGGAACAAAAAAATATATAAAAATATCATGAAAATAAAATCCAATATATCATGTAATACAAATAAGGCACAATACTCGTAAATAATATACTACTACGCATACACAGACGCGTACACACTCCTGCAAGCACGTATTAGAGAAATTGTTCACATAACAAAGTGAAGTACAGGCAGCAGTGCATGTACACGTCTGTAAACATCTCTAAAGAAGCAAAAATGATGTTAAAGTAAATAAAAAAAAGATTTCCTCCAGAGTATTAAGCCCAGAAACTACGTACACAACCACGTACCCATAGAAGCAAGTGTGAATGAGTGCGAAAATAGTAAATATATATATATATATATATATGTATATGTGTATTGGAACATGCAGTACATAGGCATACATACCAACCTAACGTGTCATATCTATATATATATATATATATATAGATGATATGTATGCTTATGTGCTATGTGTGCCAAATACAAAGTGAAACAAAATCAGTTTTAATACCAGTTACACACACGATACGCATATAGTGAAGCATGTAATTGTTCGGTGTCAGATGAATACGGAAAAGAATTTTTTCTCTCGTTTTTTTTTTGTTTTTTTTTTTTTATATATTTTGCCTCTTTATGATTATTGAGTGGAACATACTGTAGGTATTATGTGCAACATATGTCAGTTATGCTTACAATTTTAAGTGTATAATGAATCTTTTTTTTTTTTTTTTTCTTTACAAAAACAAAAATAACATCCGACAGGTTAGCTATCTTTTGAATCTAGAAGAAGTTTTAAACGTTAAGCAGATATGATTAGAGAAACGATATTTAGATATATTTCGAAATCTAATAATTAAGAAACATTAACAAGACATTAAAATTAGTTTACCAACCAAGTAAAACGATGAAATGTACATGAAATGCAATTAAATGCTTACGATAGTTAAAAGCTCTTATCGGACAAGATTGCTGTAATTGTGGTATTTTATAGAAAGTGAAAAACAAGTAAAAATGATTTATTCGCTTTGCTGGCGTATCTTGCGTAAACAAATCATTGCCAATCAATCACATCAGAAAATCTACAATTTTGGTTAATTGCTCGCCTGCCTGTGAGTCAATTAAAACCGCTTTTTCTCCTAATTCAATCTTTTGAAAATTGTTGTGAATACTTAGTTGTGTGTTTAATTTGGTGCAGTTTATCAAACTTTGACTTTTTCCCACTTTCAAATATCTTATGCATGCCTAAGCACATAGAATAGGTTCCTATTCAATACTTATAAGCTTTCTTCCTAAAAATCAAGGCTTCGAAAAACAAAGAGTAACGATAGACAAATAGACGGGTAATGATTAATTCAGTTAGAATGTGAGATCTGTCAAGAATGTGTACATCTTGCCACGAAACTCTATTCCTTGGAGGGTATAAAGACACTGCGAAATCTAGGAGACTCCCTTACTACAGCGATCCAATAATCAGCTTCATATACTAATATTTAAATACATCGGAGTTCTAAAAAAGTATTAAACCTTTAATGTTTACCGGAATGAGGACAGCGTACCAATATAGATCACACTTTCTGACACCTGGGCTTCCTGTCGATCTATTATTTTTCGCTACTTTAAGGCAGTATTTAGGTCAGAGCTTCTTGAGCAGCATTAACAATTTATTTCGGAATAAATGTCTGAAAGTGCGAAATGCTTCACAAGATCAGGGTATGTGTTTATTTTCAAGCCCTACACCTGTAAGTGTTTATCATGTTCATGCCGATGAATAAAACTTGGAGGAGGACTTGAGATAGAATCATTTTTTATTTAATTTCAATCATGTCTGTCATTCTGTCCGGTAGTCTATCTGATGACTGTCTGTGTATTTTTCTATTCAGCCTGTATGTTTTGGCTTATCGATTCGGCACACACCCACTAGGCTGCGGCGATCATCTCCCG